AGAAAAAGAATCCGTTTTAGAACAAGGAGTTAAATTCCATTCCAATATGCATGCAGAAACTGGAGAAGATAACAATAATTTTAATAATTCAATTCTACTTTTATAAAACTTTACTACATATTAATAACTCAGAATATTGTAAGCTATATCAACTGAAACAATCTGTAGAGTTCAAGATCTTGTAAAACAGTCTCTGAGAATCAGACATGTTTGAACAGAAGAAAAAAATGCACGCAAATATAATCTAATTCTGTCCAAGGACAGAAAATGTTTTCTAACAAGTGCAACAAATCTATGTCTAAAATAGCTTTTAAAAATATAATTCAGCAGTCTTCATTCCTTTCAGATTCATTTAATATTCCAGCAAAACTCATTCCATTATGTTATAAAACCATTCCTAAGAGCCATTCCCTGTGTATGCTAGAAAAAAACCAAGCAGATGACAGCATTTTTTTGTTTAATTTAGAACAAACTAAACTGTAAAGTCCTACAGCAGAGTCAAATTTAATCTTCCTATTATTGTCCATTATGCAAATTGCATAACTTATTCCACTCAGTTTACAATGGAAGGGTAGGACAGAAGAATACTAATCCAAACACTATTACTTAGTATAGGGAAACCTAGGAAGGAGGAAAACATACTTAGCACCAGTTTTTATTGATTGTGGTTGTAAGGGACAAAGAGAGAAAAAAACAAGAACTGGGCAATCTTTGAATTAGGGTTGAAGGGCATTTCAAACTTGAGAGATGGATGACTTGTCATACTAACCAGTGCAAAGAGGTTCCTGGATTGCTGAAATTCACAAAGATTCTAGTAACTAAAATTCCATCCAAGTACTCTGTTTTGTGCCAAATATTTCTTAGAAACTAACAAGTGGTATAAACAACGAATAAAGTCATATCAGAATCACTGATTCTTGTTTTGCTTGAATATAAATTTGTTCTGCAAAAAATGTGCTCTGTCAAAATATAGAGAACCATTCTTGCCTTACACCTCCTTCGAAATGTTATAACTAAGTTGATTCAGAACACTGAAGAAGAAAGAGCTAATACCTAATCACAAACAACACATTGATACAAGATACTGAGGCAAACTAAGAGAACAAGGTTATCTCATGTGCAGGTAGTCCTCGAGATATGACCTTAATAGAGTCTGCCTGTTACGGATGCAAGTGATGATGACTGTGAAGTGAGATGGCCTCATTTTAATAACCCTCAACCACTGCTTTCCCTGATGCAACTGTTAAACATGCGGGTCATTAAGCGGAGAATAGGGTACCTTAGTGGTGTGGGAGGCCCTGGGAGGCCTAGTGCAGGCCCAGACCCACCTGCCCCAGGCCCTCTAAAATATTCCCCCACCCTCAGAGATACCCTGTACTCGGCTTCCAGCTGCTTGGGTCTCCACAGGCCTTCACTCTCAGTCCCTGCAGGACCCTGCAGGGCTTAGGTCTGATTCTCACCCCACCAGGCCCCACACCTTCCTCCTCACTTATCTTTTGAAGATTTCCAGACATCATGTTAAGGAAAGTCAGACCACACATCCCTGGGCCACATGGCTGCCTCCCATAAGCAGCTATCATTTTCAGCATGCCCGCAATTTCTTGAAGGTGTGCAAAAATGGTGGCTGCTTCTACAAGGCCAATACATAGTCCAGGGACAAACCACTCTGTTTTACTACCTTAATGCGGTCTGCACAGCACTGCAGAAGTTTTCCTTTTGAAAAACTCCAGTCTTCATGGGAAAAGGAAGCTTTCTACAGCTGGAGATCTTCAAAAGGTAAGTGTGTGATGGGTGATGGGCAGGTCTAAGGCCTGTGGGGTCCCGGTGGGGCGGGATAGGGGGAACTGGCGAGGAAGAGAGGTGGGGAGAACTGCAGCATCCCTATGGTCAGTTGTAAGGGCAAATAAGCATGGGGCGCTGCCACGATCTAACTTCAAACTAGGATTCTAAGTAGCTTTTAGAAGGTCTGTGATAACTTCAAACAGCCATTAAGTGACAGTGATATCTTGAGGACTACCTGTATAGAAAGAATCAATGATAAGTCTGGGCTGAGTAAGGAGAAGAAGAGATCTTGTATCTTAAGTTTTTAAGAAAGGGAAATGCCTACAGAAAGGGGAGGAAGAAGAAGAAGACTGGGCTGGACCAGCCTATTGGTTCCTATTTTTTTCCAGCACTCACTTTCCATGTTTCTGAGACGTCAATGAAATACAAAGAAACTATGTAGCATATAATGACAATTTAACATTAACTCACAGCTTGAATATATCAGAAATATCTGATCTTCGTTCCCCTTTTCTCTTCCCTCCCCATTTCCTTGAACTAGGCTATTTAACTTTCTAATCATTTACCAAACTTCTGATGTTTAATTCTAAAATCACTCACCAAAGTTTAAATGTTGAATTTTGTAACAATTGACTCAAATTCAAATAGAAGAAACAATATCTGACCTTTTATGGCTATCCACTAAGCTTTAAGTAATGAAACAGTAAAATCCAAACCTTGTCCAATTCTTAAGCCTCATGCACACAGCTTATTTAAAGAATATAAAGGGCACAACATTGAACGTTATTGCATGGCTGTGCCTGAAAAGGTAGGGAATGCATCACTGAAAAGAAATATCACTCTGGATAGCGAGATGGGCAGCATGTAAATTAGAGAGAAAGAGAGAAGAATATCTTAGAAGCCAAATTGGTAGGGGTAATAATGATCATCTAAGGTCACATTTGGTAGAGATATCTATGCAAACAGAAGATATGAGGGGCCAAACCAGTAAGGTATTGTTGTGATATTGGGGGCCAGACTTGGTAGAAATTTTCATGAAAGGTGAGGCTGATTTAAGGGCTCAATTAAATATTGTGGGAGAGACATTCCAAGGCAGTGGGTGAACTGGCAAAGTCTCAATGTAGACCCACAACGAGTTCTATGAGTAGAAAGTTTGCATGTTAGAGTGTGTGTGTGTTTGTGTGTGCACGCGCTTAGTCCAAAGAGTGACCATAACATGAGAATCCAAACAATCGATCATTTGCAAGTTTAGAACATCTTGTTTTTCTCTGAAGTTATTTTACAACAGATGGAAATCTAGAGCAGCTTACAGCTGCTCAATGAAAAAATGAAGTTGTCACATGCAAGCCGTTAGTCAAATATAATTTGTTGATCCTAATACTCTGTTGATAAACTAATGAGGAAAACAAAATGTCTCCTGTTCAACATTAAGAAAGAACATAGTTTCCAACTATAGCCAACTATCTGGAAATGATTACCAGTGGCTTTATTAGATGTTATGCTTTATTGATTATCCACAGTTATATTTGTTCTATTACATAAAATAAATGTCAAGAATCTAAATCAGCAGCAGGCAGTTCATTTGAATTAAAAGATACTGACCTATCATCTTTGTTTATCTGGTCCCCAAATCCAACTGTATTTACAATTGTTAGCTTCAATCGGACATTGCTTTCCTGAAGCTCATAAGTCTGAGCTTTAAGCCTCACATTTGGCTGAAAGTGTGTTGACACATGATCATCAAAAGAGGTATTGAACAAGGTATCAATCAAAGTTGATTTTCCAATTCCTGTCTCTCCTAAAATTAAAGAGAGATTTAAAAAGTACAGTTATATCATCTTCATAAATGTCACTGAAACACAAAAAGAAAAACTTTACTTCTACCATTTAAAAGTAATACAAGTGAGTTTTGTTATAGCTTCATTATGGATACAATTAAAAATGCCTTTCCTTCTGTAATTTTTATAGTAACATCTGAACAATATGCAAAAACATTTCTCAAAAAGACATCAGGTGCCCATTAGCTTCACTCTGGAACTTGCAAGAACTATTCCTTCTCATCAAGTCTTTATTTCCTTCTGTCTTCCCCTGTCACTTCCATATCCCTGATTTCATTTCAGTTTTTCTCTTTTGCTCTATGGGAACCATATCGAAGAAACTGAAACCAAAGTGCTGAGTTTTCAGAAGATGATCTAACATGCTATCATTTTAAAACATTACATGTCATTCAACTGTCTTCACACACTGTCTTCATAAGTTACATGGCTTTCTATTCTCTGTTACTCTCACATCAATCCTCTAAAATACAATAAACTGAGACACAATAACTGAATCAAACAATATTCATAATGACTGATATGGGCTAAAATATCCATTTTTAATCATTCATATGTACAGGTAGTTCTCGACTTATGATGATAATTGAGACAAGAATTTTCACTGTACGTCATTGTCATCATAAGTCAGGTTGGACCAATTTTAATGGCAGTTGTTAAGCAAATTCAGCTTCCCCAGTGGGCATGTTTTGTCAGAAATTGGCAAACAAAAGATGCAAACCATGGTTATGTGACTGCAGATTGCTGCAACCGGTTGTAAATAAGTTGTCAAGTGCACAAATTGCAATTGTGTGACCATGGCAGTGATACATCGGTCATTAGTGCAAATGCAAGTGCAAGTACAAGTCACTTTTTCCAAGTCGTAACTTTGAACCATTGTTAAACAGTTGACAGTTAAATAAGTTGAGGACTATCTGTATTACTAAACTCCACTGCTTAATTCATAATAGCATACTTTTTATCAAAATTAGGCTTAAAGCCTATTCTGCTTTAGATGAGGTTCTGAATTTAAAAAGGAACAATAATATTTATTAAAGGTTGTATTTGCAAATTATTCACTAAGTTCTTTTAATCCTGATAAGTATTTCCTGAAAATAGTTAGGAAAATGTTTAGAAATGCTCTCTAGAAAAAATGGAATAGCATTTTCATTAAATACAAAGGCTGTAAAAGCTATTTTTTACTATCAAAATAAACCAATGTGGAATTACTGCTAACCATAAAGAAGCACTAAGCTATCAATAGATTTTATAATGTTTGTGAAGCTTAAAGAATGAAAACAGTTAAGGAATATAAAGTACTTAAGAAATTAAATATGTTTAATTAAGCAAATTAAGAAATTTACTGTAAAAAGAGCCTTCTCTGTTGGAGCCCCCACCCTCTGGAACGAACTACCCCCAGAGATCCGGGTGATTCCGGATCTCCCCTCCTTCCGCCGCGCCCTCAAGACATGGCTATTTCAGCTGGCGGGACTGGCCTAAGGGGTATTTTAAATTTGGTTTTTAAATAACTTTTAAAAAAAGGAAGAAAAGGCCCATATTAATATTTCTTTTTAACTACATTTTAAATTTTGTATATTGTATTGATTGTTTTGTTTTAAACTGGCTGTAAGCCGCCCTGAGTCCACCAGGAGAAGGGCGGGGTATAAATGTAAT